ACACACACACACACACACACACACACACACACACACACACACACACAGAAACAGCGAAATAGGATTTTCTGCACAGGACATTTTTATAGTAGTCTGGAAAAGTGATTAAAAAATTATTCCCAAAAGGAAACTAGCCTGCTGTTGTTATTAGCTGAGGTGGATTTTTAGCTTGGTGTTCTTTTTATCTTGTGGAATAGTGTAAAAAAAAAAAAAAGATTAGTCTCTATGTTAGATAGACATTTTTTAAAAGTTTAAGAATGTGACCACTGTATCACATCATTTTTTAGAGGCTACTTAGACAATATTCCTGCAGGATTAAGGAGGAGGAGGTGAAAATCCAGCTGTCCAGTGTGATTCTGACCAATCTCTTCTGTGTCTCTGCCCCTCTCTCTGGGCGTCCTATCCAGATGGTCGAGGGCCTTCTGCAGATCTGCTTCTACACCTTTGTGAATAAAACCCTCAGTGTGGAATTCCCCGAGATGCTCGCCGAAATCATCTCCAACCAGATACCAAAAGTCAAGGACGGGAGCGTTACCCCTCTGCTGTTTCATCAGAAATGACTGCCTTAACACTGTGAATCAATGCCTTAAAATCCACACGCGCATCTCTGCGGGCCCTCCCGAACGTCTGCTTCTCCTGCCATCCTGTCGTCCATCTTGGTTCCATTTTGAGAGTCCTGCCACGCCCCCCCCCAGGCATCAGCCACTCAGCCTCAGAGCACAATACCTGTGGCCTCAAAGCTCCCGTTCCAGTCCTTTAATACTCGTACCTCGTCCTATTGGCTAACCAAGAAAAAGAAAAAAAAGAAAAAAACAAAAAAGGCCTCTGAATGTCTTTTGGAAGATCTATTTTTTCAGCCCCCTGCCACGGTCCTAACCTCAGCTACCTTTGTCTCGCAGTGGTTTATTTTTGCCTCTTTACTGCCTCTGAAGTTTGAAGCTATTTTCGCAGAAGAAAAAAGAAAAAAAAAACTTGCCCCGCAAACATAATTCTCTTTCACCTGGTGAGGCGCAGCTCTTTCTGGATGGTCAGCTCCGGCCTAGCGTCCATCAGCTCACCCGCACAGCTTCACTGCACAGCGATTGTAGTAAGCACTCACTTTCTGGAGTTCCCAGAAGATTTTCGGCGCCGATAGGAAGAATTTTGTTTGAAAAGTTGGAAACCTGTAGTTCTGACTTGAGAGACCCCTTTTTTTCTTCCGGACTTAAGGTCACTGAGGACAAAAACGAGATTTTATTGACATGACCGGTGGAAGAAAACCGATACCGTGGGGGGGGGGGGTATACTCTTCACTTATGCAGACTGGCATCGCCGACCACACATGTAAAAGTAATACTTTTGTTGGGCACTCAGAGTATGAGTAGACACATTCGCAAATGTTTACACAGGATGCATCTGAGGGAAAACCAGTGCCTTTTAGTTTTTAAGCTCGTCATAGCCATCCATTCGAAACCTATTGTTTTCTCACGCTGACCACTCTCTGCATATTCTGTCAGTTCAAATTTCTTTTTAAATCCACACTGTTAATTTCCCTTTTTTTCCTCTTTTTTTGTTTGTTTTGTTTTTGTCTCAAGCTGACATTTTGGTGTTTTAAATATAGGACTTTTTGTTTATTTGATGTGCAGACATGTATGTAAGAGCCTATTGTACCCATTAGATAAACGTGTGAGCGGTCCATGTTAAAATTGTACGATGCTCATTGAAAAGATTATATTTTTTGATCAGGTGTAAAAGAAAATTTAGAGCAAACAATCCCGAACATGTAGTTCGTGTAGTGTAGATAAATAGACAAGCCTTGATACAAATCCGTTGGTTTAAAAGGGCAAAACTCTAACAGCAGATCTGTTGTCAGGCTTTTTTCAGTTGGGGTGATAAATCGTTGTGAATCATATTTTCTCGGAAGCATTCACATGAGTTGGGAGTTTCAGAACTACATGTCTTTTGGAAAAACTCACCCAAAGTGTTAGAGGAAAAAAAAAACAGAGTGTCTGTGTGTTAGAAAATAACCATAATCATTCAACTAAAGCTGGCTCGTAGCCAGAACGGTCCTTTCACTGCCAGCTGCTTTCATAGAAAAGATTGTTGTGTAGCAAATGGTTTCTCACGCAGTTGGATTTGAAAATGTGGGATATCAGAAGTTCACTTTGAGTGACCAGATGACCTGTTCCCGACCCAGAAAACCCTGGCTCGCTAGCACTGAAATGGCAAATACCCTTATGTTTTTATATTTAGAAAATACAAAGATTAGGCTTATAATCCCAGCAGGCAAGGACCTGAACCCTTCATCCATAAATCACCACATCAGAGACTCTAAAAAAAAACAAAAAACTCTTAAGTTGTGTTAGTTAAGTTAAGTTTCGCAGGAAAGTGCAAAAGAAAAAGCAAACCGATTTTTTCTCATTGGTCCCCAGAATAAAGAATTTCTCTTTAAATATTCATCCTGACCTGTGAGACTGAGCATATGCAAAAGTATTAAACTCAGTGCCATTTTACACAGAATCCACCCTTTAATCAGCTTCATCTCAACACACTTTCCCATAGGAACTGGTTTGTGTCTGAAAGGGTAAAAAAATAAGTCATCGTCATAATCTGTAAAGCTAAATGAGTGGCAAAAAAAAAAAAAAGGTTCAACTCTCTTCAGCACATCTGAAGTCGAGATATTGTCCGAAGAAGCTGCAGTTCAGTCCAAATGATTAACGAATCAAAGCTCAGGCTGAGTGATTACATCACTTACATGTGTCTCACCAGTGCCAAATACAACAGGAGGTTTGTAACTTTTTCTTTTTTTTTTTTTTTTCTCTTCCTGGTGATGTGAAAGTGTTCCGATCCATTTGTGATCTGGCATTATGTGGTTGTTGTAACTTTGCTTCAGGGTGCTTAAGTTCCAGTGTCACACAATCACCAGCCTGAAACACGACTGACTGTTGTAATCACAGTCGGTGTGTGACAGCATATGAGGTTCACGAATGATGGTATTTTCGTTATTATTATTTTTCTCTTCAGAATTGCACAGTAAGCTGTCGTTTTCTGCTTACGTCAAAATTGTTGCGCAGCATTTGGTACAGTTATAATGTGAAAAAAAAAAAGAAAAAGTATACTCATACCAGCTCATGTGACGGCCAAAGTAACAGAAAATCAGACGTGCAGTGGGAAAACACAAAGCCATCCGCCGCCTCCCTCCACCCGTTTTAGGCCTCTCTCCGCCTAAAATGTCGACTGTATAGATTTTTTTTTTCTCGCTCTTAAGCCACCCTGCAGCACATATAGCTCCAAATGCCAGTTAACAAACCAGGTAGCAGGCTGCCATGGAGACCAGCGGTTTGTGTGTAACTCTGGATGCTGCGAGCCGCCCCCCCCCCCCCAACCCCAGCAGAGGGGAGGTAACCTGCAGTGGGCTGGTTTCATGTACAGAGCAGCCTTTTAACTTTCCGCCCGCTAACCCAAGGAACCGAGGCTGCTTACATTACGGCCTGTTGCTGGAAGCGTGAACTAAAACAGTTGTTTTTTGGGGGAGGACTTGCATACAGTGTTACGTTTATTTCCAGGTGATGGTGCTTCAGAAAAACCAGCTTTAATGTGTAGATGTACTCACATACCCGCTAATTTTCAAAATGGCTATAGGTGTATATAGCAATGCCGACATATCCAGTGTAATGTAAACGGTGTCTGTTATTGCAAAATATTTTTTACATTGACTTCTACACTTACAACTTTCTCTTTTACCTTTTCAACTACATGTTCGACTAAAGGCCTTGCGAAAGGGAGACAGAGAGCCATAGAAATAAGACTTCAAAATCAGGAAACAGACAAATATCAGTGCTTTTGGAGATCGATCTATTGTAAATGACAATATTTTCTGTGATTTTAAATACATAAACTTAATCCTCTTTGATATGACTAATTTTACTCAATCATTTTTGTACATTGAAAGAGTCGAGAAAGTAATTTTTTTCCCTTTCTGTTTTGTTGGTTTGTGTTTGATAAAAAAAAAAGTAGGTGTGTTAAATACATTAGAAAGTGTTCAATATGTTTGTCTTGTGAAGTAAATGTTAATTCTACAAGTCAGTCTACGTGAATACTGACTGTTTTTAAAAGATACGAGGAAATGAGAGCGAGGGGCGGGACGGCAGGTTGAATGGACACTGAGATTTTTGTGTTAACAAGAGTGACCAAAGCGGAGAAGGAAAAAAAATTTGAATAAAAGAAGTAATCAAGCAGTTACATCTTGTGTAGCATATACAAGCTTACTTCGACCACTTCTGGTTTTATCATAATGTTTTTTTTTCTTTTTTGTAATGGTCTTGGCTTTGGATCTCATGTATATTGCTGTGAGGATTTACTGGTCACTTTAAAATAAACAACAAAAAAAGGAAAAAATAATCAAGAAGCTTATTCTCTGTGTGAATGTACATTTTACAGAGCCTGATGGAATCGCACTTCGCTCATGTTGGTTGAAAGTCTATTTTGTATATAATGCATCTCATTTCTTTAAAACCAAAATATGACTTTCAGGTATATTCTTTTCATATTTAATTTACATAGATTTAATCAAATGTAATACACTAATAAATACTACACATATATCTTGTGTGTGTGTATACATATATGTATGTATATATGTATGTATATATATATATATATATATATAGATATGTGTGTGTATGTGTGTGTGAGTGTGTGTATGTATAGGCTCACAAAGGAATTGTTTGCTTTAAAAAAAAGCATAGTTTGTATCTACAGTTCTCTAATCACTGTTGACATTTTCACTTAGTTGATTAAATGTTGAATTCAGCTACTGTGTCGTTCTGTGACACTGAATTTGGCATCGTGTCAGATGTTGTTTTCCCGTAAATTTTTCAAAGCTGAAATTCACAAAGAACCAATTATTTCTTTAGCCCAAACACAATGAAGTTTCCTGTTTTCTTAATATTCAGCGTGTGATTTTTTTTCTCTAATTGACGTAAAGTAGTTAGCAATAGTGACTTTTGGAAACAATATGTGGTCTACAAATGATGGAGAGTTGTTAGCTAGAAATGTGAGGTATCCCTTTAAAGTAAAATACAGTAGGTTTTATTAAGGCTGAAGGATGACTGCATTTCTTACCCAGATGTGTGCTCGTGCTGGATGCTGCGTCCATCTCGGTCCGGTGATTGTCGGAGCTGCAAGTCGAGTCAAATCGACATGGTTTGAGTTAGACACGTAGCGTTTTTCCCCATTTGGCTCGTCTCTAGACAAATCCGTCAAATATTTAACTGAATGATTGCACAGGTTTCAGATGCTGTCAAACCACCAACATGAAACACAGATATTGTCAGACATGGGTAAAAGAGGGAGAGCAGCCTTCACATCCCATTTGTCCAAATTCTCCTTTGAGAAAAACAGTTCTTAAGGCAAAGCTGTGTCCATTAGGGTGTGTCACCTTCTACTCCGGCTCATTTTACCTTATTCCCCCTTTACATGACCTTATGAAGTTAAGAAGAAACCATGTATGGATGTATGAGAACTAAGACATGACTGAAAATCATCTGAGTCAACTCACCTTGAAGTCAACAGCTCAGCTTTAACAGCTTAAAAAGTCTCGACCTTTTTAATTGCAGAAACACATTCCCTCTGGTCAGACATTTTAAACAGTAAAATAAACAAAAGTATAATTCAGTATAATAAAAGCAACAGCAGTTCATGATTGATCTTTAATTCTCCACAACACATCACCAAAACATCTGCAAGAATATTTAAGGCTGGGAATATACTTAAATGATGCAAACAAATCTGGCCACAAAGATGGATTTAAGGACTTAAGTTAGTATGCTAGAAATACAAAATATAAAATTTCATGCTTGAAAAAAATTATACCTCATCAACTGCTGTATTTATTTACAAGATCAATAAGACACCTCAAAAGGGATACAGTCCAAGATTCTGGAAGTCTCATAAATAAGATATTTAGATATGAACAAAGTAGTCTCATTTCACATTTAGATTCTCTTTAACTCCTATTTCATGTATTTGCTTAAATGCTAAAATGTTCCTTTAAAAGTTGAATTAAAAAAAAAAGGTTGTTTTTTCCCCTAGAAATTGAAAAACATTCACAGATGGTTCATAAGAAAGGTTCAGCTGTCATTTTGGAGCAGACCAGCTCTTCTGTTTATTTAAAAAGCTATATTTTTAAAAATCTTGCCGATTCGATATATAAAACATGTGATAGACTTGTCTGAATCCAATTCTAAATTTCCATCCATCTCAGATAAACTGCGTTGTCAGCGCTGTCTTTGTAATCTTATGTAAAAAAAAAACAAAAGAGAAAAAGATCCTGTTGAAATGGAGAAAATGAGGAACAAGACGTTTGCTCTGAGATGTAAAAAAAAAAAAAATACAACTTCTTGTTAGAATTCCAAGAATGGGCTAACATAGTGCAAGCATGACTCATCACTCCACAAAGGCTGAGGCCTTGCAGCTGCGCCTGTTTTAACCAGCAGGATTCAGCTGCTCCTCCTCCGCTCCTCTGTATTCTGCTGACCCGCCAGCAGAACCTGTTTGAAAAATGTCACTTTTTCTTCTTCTTTCCAAGAGGGATCTGCGGTTAGACGTATTAGAACTAAGGAGAATGCCAACACTGACACTTTGGTGAACTGATTGAGGGGCGAGCTCATCTCCTTCTGATCTCCCCGGAGGCTCCTGCTGTTTCACTGACACATTAGCCAGGCTGGGTCTTGTTGCCCAGGAATTAGCAGGCTGCAGCAACAAGTGCTCACAAATACATTTACAGCTCTGCTGCACGACCCAGTCATTTCAGTCTGCTTTCAGTCAGCTCCCATTGCCCCAGCGAGCTTGCAATAAATCAACAATGAGGAGGTGAATGAGCAAGTTTAAAGCTGAAGGCAATTTGCTATTCATCATGTATTTTCTCATTAACACTGCAAGACGACCGCTCTGTATCTAGATGATGAAAAATTCTATGTATGCTGAAGCTGTGGCAGTGCATAAGAAAAATAAAAAAAAGAGACAAACAAAAACAAAAAACACCCTTAGCTAAAAGATATTCACTCATACAAATCATTTTCTTCCCCACACTATCATCACCATGTCTTTGGAGGCCATCTACAAAAACTCAGAAACAGCCAGTCTTCTTGTCCCAGTACAACAGTCATTCCCCTGTCTGCTATGTTTTGGTCCTCTTTCGCCTCCGGTCGAATGATTCCGCTTGGTCCAGTTTCGATTCCCAAATTAAGTCAAGACAAGAGCCGGTAAACAAGGGTTGGGTCCATCATAATTTAAGATTTTACGTTTGTGCAGTCACATCTGGTTCTATGGAGACCAGAAATGTCCAGGTGTTTTTCTTTCTCCTGCCTGGCCTACAGAAACTCCACGTAGTTTTCTGGTATCAGTCCTGTCCGACCATCCAGAGTTCCTTCCAACCAACCAGGCTCCCGGGAGGTATGAACTAGGGACAGAGAATGAAGCATTTATTTACACTGAATGTTTGAAGATAAGAGTTTATGTCTCTTAATACATTTGAAGCATGTGTAAACCCAGTTCATTGCATTCATTGTAAAAGGAGAAAAACAATTACTTGTTTTCATACATAAATACAACCATAAAAGATTATAGACATGCTCCATTACCCACTTCGGTTGGAAATAAAGAGCCTATGCAAATTGTGGCCCGTAAACCAATCGTTTAATCAAACGATAAAAGCTCTGTTGCTCAAGACAAAGAGGCTGGTCCTGACAACAGTACGAGGAGTTCTTCTACTGGTGAACATTTCAGGGCTGCTACTGCCAATAAGTAAATAAACAAATGGAAAAACTTCAAATTGTTCAGAATTTGTTTTGGCTATAATCTCACAGCCTGAGAAATCACCCCGAAACCTGACCAGCATGGTCGACTCCTTTGATTAATCAGTTTCTGTAATCCACCAGATTTAGTCCTCCGGCATGTGGGGGAACGCAAGTATGATTCAGAAAGTAAACATTTGGTTTATCAGGAATTTAACAAATGCTGCAGAACGCACTCTGATCCGCGGGGGAACCCAGACTTAAATTTAAGATGGAGCCACAAGTTCTTTGCATTTGATCTTCATAGCTCAGAGTATGAATCTAAATTGTGGAACTTGAAATAAAAACTCATCACACATTGTACCCTTGGACCTGTATTCTTGTACTAAAAACAAAAAACAACAACAAAAAAACCCCACTAGGCTGTAGTGTGAGCTCCTTGGGGACAGATGAAATGCTACGTCCTTGGCTGCTGATGAAAAGACTGCAGTGTTCAGATACCATTTTGAGGATTACATGTCTCTGGGGTCACAGTTTGACCCAAGGAGCTCACATGACACTGCTCTGCATTACATAACTCTCCACAGTCTTTATACAGCTAACTCTATTTAGAGTGTATGGGCCATCTGTCATGGCGTGATATGTGTGTTTGCAGGGAAATGGAATTTCTCCACTGAGGTTTTTAACATGCAAAGCATACAAAGGAAGCTATTTAGGCAAGATTTGATTATGTGAGTTAATAAGTGAGGCTGCACAAGCACAGGTGCAATGGTCATCTATCCATCGAGAGAAGGAGCTGAGCCAAAGCAAATTTGAGAAGGGGGCTGTGAAGGGGGAACTTTTGAAAAAGATGATGCGTCAAAATAGAGAAACAAAAATGCTAACGGCTCCTCCGTTGTGTGCTTGTGTAGGGTTGGTTTCACCTTTGTTTGTATGCAAAACAAAGCGCATGACTACTCCAAACCCAAAAGCATTAAACCTGTTTCTGTCTACGAGGAGCTGCAGCCTTTTCCACTCTCCAGCTTTCGACACGGTCTGTGTGGCTCCAAGCACATTACCTTTTAATATCAGGTGCCAGACAAAAATACACTCGACCAATGGGAAACTAGCCGGGACCTTATACATTCATTTGCCCCATTAATTATTAGCGCACAAAAAACGCAGTTAAAAGCCTTTCAGATAAATTCTTTGGCCACAGGCTGTTTGGACAGAATCTTTAAGGCATAACAAAGAAATCCAGAGGCAAAGAAAACGCAAATTCCCATGGATGACTGTGTATTTTGACAACAGATTGTCTCTTTTCCTCAACATACAGTCCTTTCTTGTCTCTTACTGTTAAGTTGTCCCAGTCTGACTCACCATTCTCAAAGATAGTCCCAGCGATGAAGGACAGCTCAGAGTCATGCTCTGCCTTGCAGGCGTACAGTGCGAGAGCCTTTCTGCCTGCGATGCTGGAAAAGGAGGAGAGCAACAGTGAGACAGTGGGTTCTTGGCTTATGTAGAGATAGAGGGGGAAAAAAATATGAAGCCCTTGTAAATTAAACTAACTGAAGACAAGCAATTACTTGAAACCAAATGTTCCATAATTATCATATGGGTGTATAAACACTTTCTAATGTACATTTTCCACATACAGTTAACTAAATGTAAAGTCCATACTGTAATGGATTTAAAATTCAAGCTACCATCTTGCGTTTGGACCTATGACCCTTTAATCCATGAGACAAGATGTAATTGTGCCCCGCGCCAACATCGAGATTGAGCCTCTGATCTTAACAGGTATAACTTCTGTCCTCTTTTTCTCACACATACCATGTCTTGCATTCCTGTAATTTACACTGAACATGCCACGGACACTGTAATCTAGAGGAAGGGCTGGCTATTGAGGTTGCAAGGCAGTTGCAAAGAGGACCGGCTGTTGGCAGCTTCTAGTACAGCAGCGGGGAGGCTTGAGTATTGAAATGTGAAGCACTGAAATATAGTGGCATCCACCAGACATCTGCCAAGGTTCAGCCGAGCAACCGCAGCAAGTCGAGGTGCATTATTTTTTGTGCATTTAAAATAGAGGAGCTTATGTAAGGAGAACTGCTGCCTGACCGGTGTATAAATAGTGTGCAGCACATTCTCAGTCTAAGATGCAACACTGCTCCACAAGGAGATAATTTAGCTTTTGAATTCCCTCCTTTCATGGGGGAAGATCAGAGGTCGTAACCACCACATGACGACTTGCGGGATGGAAGAATCTTGCTGAGGGACATTTGGGATGAAAAAAAAGGCTTGTTCCTTACAGTGCTTCATAAATAAATTGGAAGAAGCGGAGGCAGCTGGTGCAAATTTAATAAATGAGGGGATATTGCTTCCCTTGAATAGTAGCTGAATGAGACACCTATAGCAGTGAACCTTATCGTGGATATATGGAGGCGAAACTGTCATCCCTTTTTTTTTTTCTCACGTCACCTCAGGGCAGACACGGAGACAGCTTACAGTTTAATTAGATAACAACAATCTCCGATAGCTTTTCCCAGAACAGCTACAAGATGGGTTTAAGTCCTTCCGCTAACAGCGTCCACCAACCTGACAGGAGAGGAGTCACTGGAAGCAGAGGACACTGGCTGCGGACTTGAGGGGGCAGAGAACATTGGCCAGGAGGGAGAGCGTGGCGAGGTGGGGCTGGGGGACGTGGCACTGATAAACACATTCACACAGAGAGGCATGCCGATATCATAGAAAGAAAGCTTCTGTTTAGGACCAAAATACAAGAGACCTCTTTGTTTCTTTTTTTTTCTTACCTGGCCGGTATGCTGCCACGGCTCTTTGGGTTCAACCTGCAAACACAGAATTAAAAATCAAATTAATTCAGGCTTGCTGCTGTCATAATTTCCCACGACTTCACACATATTCACCATATTCTAATTTCCAAATGGCTTATCACAGCAGTGGAGTGAAATGTGTAATTTGTATGAGAAAGCCATGTGCATTCGTGTATCCATTTTGCTGCACAGCCCATTTAATCTGGAGCAGTGACATGCTGATAAAGTAACGGTCAGCTGCAAAACAGCTTACATAGAAGATAAGACCTGGTTCTGTAACATGACTGGAGAACATTTTCATTAATGAATCAATTTTTTACAATCACCATATACATGAATTACACACAAAAACACATTACTTGAGTATAAAGAGCACGTGGTGAACACACCACCCACCACTGCTGCAGCCTCCCGAGCACTCAGCTTTACAAAATGGGTTTCAAGCTGGAGAATTACTTCTAAAGCCGCAGCATCTCAGTAATTACATTGTTTTAGCTGAAATAATACCGAGAAAGCTACAAAAGCCAGGACTGCAGAAGTGATGTGCCACTTATTGTTCATACTCCTACATCATCACATTCTCCGAGGAATCTTTTGTGCAGGACTTCCTGTCTGTACTCTAAACAGCAAAGACAATTTATCTCTGTTGTTCAGCGGTAACAGCTTTTTGAGCATTGCTCTTTGTTCGTACCCACCTGGGAATTAAGACAAGAACTAAACAGTGACTCTGCTGGTGGATATAATAGGCTAGTCTTCTTCCTTTAGAATTAACCCGACTTCAGCCATAATTACATTTTGTTTTCAATAAAGGAGCCAATGCTGTGCTATTTAAGCTTGCAAATAAGGCTCACGTTAATTTGATTAAAAGCAGAATTTAAGAGAGAATGTAGAACAAAAAGCCCCCTCGCCAATATTACCAGTAAGCCTTAAAAAACAACAAAAAAGCACACGTCACCCAAAACACTGAATCAAATTAATTTCCGGGTGTTGTAAAAGTGTGTTAAAAATAAAAAAATAAAAAAAACTATACTTTTCAAATAATGCTTTATCCAACAAAAAATGGTCTCTTCTGGTATTGTATTTTAGGAATTCTCAGTACTCTGCAGGCTATTTCCATATAGAAGTTCCTTTCAAGAGATAATTGTTTAAGCTATTGAAAATCAACTATGACTTCTAATAGTCCTGTAATCAGATACTGAGCAAGCTGACACTGAGTAAAAGCTGAACATAACCCCAAACTACTCCCATGGGCCTTTGACATTCAATCTTTTTTTCCCCTCTAATCTATCTGTCTCTCATGTGTAGTTTTATATAATCTTTTCCTCGTTTATGCAATTACATATGGTTTTAAAAAAAGAGAACCTAATATAGTTAGGCGCTGCTGCATAAATGACAGGACAGGCTTTTTTTTTGCACTGAAACTCCTGTCACTGGCTGACTAACAGATGTGTGACTGATTCAGTTACAATTAAGCAAGTGTTTTAGCTTTCTTACTAAATTAAATTCTAAAAGCTTTTGATGTGATTTCTCTCAGCATGTGATATGAGTGCAGTTCACTTAGACCGAGGCAGCAGTCTTTTCAACTAGTCTACATTAATCTTTCCTTGTTATTTCTTTAAGATATAGTACGTGTTGTCCTGGTTTAACGCAAACCGCTCTTGGAAAGAATGGAAAGGAACTGAAGTGTCCATCCTCTCTAAATATAAATGAAGTGGGAAAAGTGGCCATCCGGCACACAACCACAGGGTTGTGCGTTCATCTATTTGTTTTGTACATTGTTAGTCCTGTGAAACAACAAGACATTTCCCTAATTGTTTGATCATGACGTTATTTGGATCACAGTCTTTCTCATTGTACTATTTATGTTGATTAAGCTGTACCTGTTCCTCTGTGTGTCAGCTGTGAGGCTAAATATGATCCTGCTTTGTTTTCAGCCTCTTTTGAATATTATTATCAGCCAGGACTGACAACTCACAGGCATTTAAAAGAGGCAACTCATTACTAAAACATTTTGGAGCAAAATGAGAGCACAGACAACGATCAAAAAGGCATGTCAGAGAAACACAGCAAATGTATATTAATTTCCCATATCAATTTAAGAAAGATTCACAAATATTTAATTTTCGATGGATTTCAATGCTGATGAAAACCTGTCGTAGTTGATATGTTGCATGTTTCCTGGTACTCACTTTTTTTTTTTACCACAAATAGTGCTTATATCAAAGCACAGCCCTGCAGGAAAAAAACTGTCATCTGAGACGCCACCAAAACATGAGCAGAAAGTTGCTGTGCGTCCCTGCTGCATAGAGGCAACACGCAGCTATGCCATATGCCACTTTTTCACTCCAGTCTTGTTCGTATGTCCTTTCTTTATAAATAAGTTAATGTGCTTGCTCGCTTCCACTCACTGAATTCTTCTCTGTCATTTGCCTGCCTGTGTGCTCTCTCCACTACCCCATCCTTTAGCAGAGATGTTGCAGGGACAGGAAGATTGATAGTGACACAGCATGAATCAACTATTTTTTATTTCTATTACGCTTTAGAGAAAGAAAACATGCATATTGAACACTTTTTGGCATATTTTTCAAACACAAACAACTGAGTGTGGTTTTAAGTGAGCATGCTGTTTTTCAGGCCTCCTCATGACATCAATTCATCGTTTTAACATGAACATTTTTAAAGCTTTAATATAAACCAATAATATTAAGCTACTGCACTGTAACATACTTAACTACAGTCTATACTTCTTTCTTTAACTTGTGGATGTCCAGTGTCATCGTGTGTGGAGACAATTAGGGTTTAAATATATTGCCTACATGTAACAGCACATTGCTTTTTTTGGCATTTTCCAGGTTAACAACAACCTTTCTTAAAAGTAAGGTTTTAAGAAAGGTCCCCCTTAAGTAGAAATACATATTCTGCTTCTTAAAGGTAATTTGTAGAATACATTGAGGCGACCTGCTCAATACACAAATAAAAAGATTGGACTCTTGAAGGGAAAAAAAGGAGAAAGAGTGCCTAAGATATCTATTTTTACAGAATTCCAGCTGTACTTCTTTACTAGTCTTTTAAAATAAGAAGTCAGGAGTGCTTGGAAATATTCAGTGCAACAACGTTGTCGGAGAGACCACCTGTTTGTAATATGTGCCAAGGGTACAACTGAATAAATAAATACACAAATAAGATCAACAGGCATGACATAAAATATCAGGAAAATGCTGTAAATGCTGCAAAAGCATGTGTCCTGGTGACTGAAACTGTAAAATGGTGTTGATTTATTTTCCTCTCAGCTTGTCATCCGTACGTCACTGGGGTTTTTTTTTTTTTTTTTTTGCGACACCAATTCTGCTTTGCAGGCTCTGGATCTCTTATCCTTCCCCAACACTTTAACTTTATTCTTGCTTCATGTCATCATTTTTTCTAGTTGCCACAAAGGCTGGAGCAATAAGCCTGCTCACAGGGATATGATTAATATGGCAAATCGGGTAATTTGTCATATTAGGTTTGGGTAACAGAAAGAAAGGTTGCACTGTGAAATGTGATTAATTTTTTAGTTAAGGTTATATATGAAAAATGATGTGTGAGTGTGTGTCAATTTAGTTCCCTGAAAGTGACAAAAATATACCTCACATGCCTCTGAAGTGGCCTCTAAACGTGGTATTTATCTGGAATGAGCACACGGACAGGTATTTATTGAAAACCTGTGCAGTTTGGCCCTTGAAGACCCAGATCTAAGCTGTGAGCAGGCTGCGGCCGGTTTGAAATGGAATTATTATTCTATTGCACATTAGTACTAATAAAATCAGCGATTTCAATGCTTTTTCAATCATGTAAAGATGGCCCTCATACTCTTAACATACTCTTAACAAGGTCAGTTTTCCCTCCAATTGATACTATTATGCAAGCTTCTGGAACATGTAAGCTGCTGTTATATGCATGGTTTTACTTATTAATCATGAGATTCAGAACATTTCCTGAAATCTATGAACAACCAAACGTACCAGAAAATGAACTGAGAACTTGTGCAGCTAAACCAAAGCGTCAGTACTCTTTTCTATTTTAGTTTCTGCTGAATTCAGAAGCTGCCGGGGATGTGAGATAGAGCTAGTCTGTTCCATTCTTATTAAACGTAATAAGACTGAATATTTCTAACATCCAACATTTTCTCTCACAGGCAATAAAGCATTACGCACAAGAAATGATCTGATCGAAAGATAAGAATAGTCAATTTTCTACAACCTGTATGCTTGAAAAAAAGGGTAAACTTTATCTGTAATTTAGATAAATCTATTATGAAGTCATTTTGTAAAAACTAAAATGAATCATTATAAATCTAACCATAAAATGAACCATTCTTACTGGCATTTTGGAATGGGTGAGAATGAAGGCTTATACCATCTACATCGTTCATCGTTCTCTGTGCAGATGACATTGAGCATTGTGGAATTGTTATCTTTGAACCTGTGAATTAGATGACACAGACAAAGTGTCAACAATGTGGGACTCAGTCTCTAAAAGTTCTTTTGAGAATCATACTTCACTGACTACTCACGCCAAATAGGCGCACATTGACCGTGTGTACCGTGTGCTTTGTGGGTGAGCAAAGGCTCAACATCCATCTTTAAATCAAACGTTAAATCCTCCGATTCATACAGAGCTGTTGAGAGTTTGGTCCACAAGCGACCGCGTGGTAATCCCGGTCGTACTCACAGTGAGCTGGGTCGGACCTGCCGGCCGTCCTGCTCCCCGTCGTTGCTGGTCAGACTGTGGCGCGGCGTTCGACACTGGCTGCCGGCGCTGCTGCTGCTGCTGCTGCTGTTGCAGTTGGCGGAGGACGAAACTGGGTTCTGCAGGTCAGCGACGGTGGCGTTGCTCACGCTGTTCCTCTTCTCACCTTTTACGGAAGGTAGGAAGAGTTATTTCAGCCTTCGGAAGTCTTGAGAAGAATGCTGACCACAGAGCAGAAATGTCAAATCAAGCTCTAACGCTTCTTTCTCTCATGATTTCACAAAGTGAGGTAACTAAGAAAACTAAGAGGGAGGGGAGAACAAGCTAAGAAAATTTGTGTAATTTCTGTTATAATTATGCGAGTCACCTTTCTGAGAATGTGTTGGTGTGTGGAATAGTGTGAGAGGCCTCTCGCTGCAGGACGGGGCTTTGACCTCAGTGCTTTTCCTCCTGGATGGCGTGTTGGCTGGAGCGCCTGCAGAATTCGGCATGTCCCTAAACATCTGCCAAAAAACAAGACAAACCAGCTCATGTACAGCTAAAAAAAATAAGGGTGTACAGGATCATCACAGTTAGGGGACAGACAGTGATCCCAGTGGTGGAAATCTCCATGATTAAATAGAGCCCCTACATTTAAAGGTTACTGGATCAATTGGCTTAGTAATACAAGGAGTATCATTGCTGTTTTGCCAACTAGATACTTGAGAACTGGGAACGCTGTTGGCTCCAGAAAACACTTTGCGCTGTGGCACTTACTGCTTTATCATTGGAATTTATCGCTGTTAAACTCCTTGAAGCACAAGTTATGTAAGACGTTGCAAACCCCTGGCTGCGAAACGAACCTTGACATCGCTCTTCCACAGGTATTAATGCTACTCTGTACGCTCTCAGCTCACTCAGGAAGAGAAAGGGGATGCGTCACAGAGCCCTGGCTGGGCTGATTGAGTTGCAGGAAAGGACAATGAAATGTCAAACCATCCACATCTCCCAAAACATAAAGGATGCTTCCATTAAACGCACGGGCACAAGCCTGAATCAATACTTTCCCGCTAATTTGCCGCAACAACGTTTTAATGCATCCCACAGGTTTCAAGATATATTGGTTGCTGGGCCAACACGTAGGCGGGGACCTCAAACAGTGGAGTGTGTGTTGTCCTTTTTAAACATTTTCTCCACCTGCTCGGTAAATATATGCCTGCAAACAAGTGCGGCTTTGACTTGTCTTATTAGTTTGTCTAATTTTTTGCACCGTCCACTGATGGAACATACAACCTGCACAATATCAGGGTCTAAGGCAGACATACTGTTGCCATGGTTACATGTTTAAGCAGCTTGGCTTGCCAATAAGCGGCTTGTATCTAAAGGGGTGAGGGGCTTTGAAACCTATAAAAAGGTGTGTGCAGTTATTGCTTGCCCGGTCGATATGGTTAGGTGCATTAATTGTTTTAATGTGCACACAAAAGTTAATCTGCGATGGAAAGTGAAGGGATTCACTTAATCCTCGACCCTCCCACCGAACTCGGCATTAGTGTAATTCATTTGTTCTTCTTACCCTCTCGTGGTGCTCTATCAGGATTTCCACGACAATGTTCTGAAACTTGATGTCCATGATGGCCGCCACCGTCTCTTCCTGTGGGCGGAGCAGGGTCGGCCCAAAGACCACGCCCAGATTGGCGACGGTCATCAGGTTGTGCTGGTGGTGGCTGGCCACACTATGGAGAAAGAGGGACACCATGGTTAATTAAGCTGTAACAAATATGACAAAGGAAAAAAAGTTAAATTAAGGAAACAACTGCTTAGTGAATACATTAAAGAGCTGTGTTTGTGAAGGATGTTGTCCTGAGGCTGAAAGTAAATCAGAGATCAAAACACATTTACAATGGGCTCACTTTAAATATGGCTAAAAGGAAAAATATAACGGCGGATGTGTCAACAGGAGAAATTTAAGAATATGAAATATTTTTTATTTATGTGGTAATTTATCTAAATTAATATAGATGGACAACTGCTGACCATGGAAACGCATTCAAATGATCACATTTAATGTCATGACATTTGTTTCAAATTCATCATTAGAATTTAATTACCAGCATCTAATCATTTCTCCCAAATACTTTCAGGGCAGGCGATGCCTCTGACAAAAGACCATGTACAAAGCTATAAATAATCAAGTGCATATCGATGACCCTGAAAGTACTTCAAGAGAAAGGCTGAAAGAGCAGTGTGACCGAGGGGCATCATCTATCAGTGGATAGCAGGTCAGAACGAGTCAAAGCACCGGCCGAGATGTCAAGCCAGGAAGCCGGAGGGGTTTTTTTTTTTCATCGTTCATGCAATGTTTACACTTAGGAAATTCAAGCTATACACAAGCATGTCAGTAAAGCTAAACTCACATGATGATTTACAGGCATGATAAAGGAATTAACTTACGGATGATCAAGTTAACTCAATTCTACAAAAACACTAAATACCTTTGACTCTCTCTCTCTTTGTTTGTCATTCATTCACTCCATTCACATTTAACAATGTTACTGATTTTATATTGCTCATGCTCATTTCTACACATGTTGTGCCCCATTACCTTATCCTGGGCATTGATGTGGTTTATCTTAAGACCCCAACTGACAGAAACAGAGAGAGACAGAGGTCTGAGGGGTGCTGTGACACTGCCATCCTTTCCAGCCTGTGATGATGATGACCATTGGCAGGTTAATCCACTAAGCTCAGGGAAATGTCCTCAAAGTGTCTGCTTGTGCACTCACCCACATGCAGTATAAATATGGCCAATGGCCCATTTATCACAGATTGTATCATGCTGAAGAAAAGCCTGATAAAGCCAGAGGGCTTAAATCCAGGTCGAGACTGAATTGAAAACACAATTCTGATGCTTTAGAAAAATAATTACATATAAATCAACAGTGCCATGCCCAGTTCTTTTTTTTTCTAATTTTTTTTTTTTTTGCGGTTTGCAGCAGCTCACAAATATGAAGCAGTCACATAGGTAGTCATCAAAAATCACAGTACTTCAGCCGATCTATAGCTGCAGTTGTCTCCTTAACCGTATTAGCCGCCACTCACCGGTGGCCACAGGAGTTCTTGCACCTCCTGACACCATTAGAAAGATGTGCACCTGACCAGTGACTCTTCTCTCCTTTTCAAAGACGGGTTGGGAAACATATTTAGCCCGTCGACTGCTGGCTTTCTATTTCCAGTGCACAATGCGTCAATAAACGTGGTCAAGAGATTACACTGGGCACTAATCCTCTGAGGATCGATGACAACAGCAGTCGAGGGGTATTATACAGCATTATGTTGTATTACGGATAAGGAGGAAAGATATTCACTGGAAGCACTCGCACTGCGTGGAATGGATTTTTAAACAAACACAGGGGCTAACTGGAGTACACAGAGGATAAACCAGTGAAAGAGTCGCCGTTGTGGCATTTCTCCGCATGCACGTGAGGAGTTTACATACTTTGCCAGGTGTTTCATCAGCAGCTCCAGCATCTGTCGGTTCTTCTCAGGCAGCCGGTGCACCAGAGCATGGACCTCAGTCACCCTGGCTTCTGGGTTGTCCATCTCTGAGCAGAGATAAGAAACAAAGGTTGACATCTAGAGACACGCGGTAACTTTTTCTCCCTGTAACAAGCAGTAAAAATGCAAAACCAGTTTTGTTCAGCATTTACACAAGTTAAATATAGCTTAGATCCACTTGCCCTGTTGTGCATTACTCTGAATTTCTTTTCGGGGTGCGATTTACAGTGTCAATGCTTCCATCGATCTAAAGCAACTGCATGCACTTTTCGGTATAATTTGTGTTAACATACTTCAAGCCTCAGCTGTTTTGAGTCTGCAAGCAATATCTGCCATTCGAGGGACATTAGACACTATGCAGAGAAAGGTACAACACAACACTTTTCTCATGTCACTTTAACAACTAAGATCAACGGGCCGTGCACAAAGCTGGGACGTAGCTCAAAACATCACTGTCCAACAATACACCCTGATGCTGGTTATAGTTGCGATTGTGTGGCTATAATACCGTGACGGAAAGAAAAATGTTTAAGTTGCACTGTTATCTACTTTCTGGTTATAAGTCCTCTGGGCAGCTGAACATGTGTCAAATTAACCCAGTCTGCTAATATGAGAGCAGCAGTTTCCACATGCGTGGCGTTGAAACTGATACAGAGTTACTAAGTCTGGCCTGGTTAGATCGTCGTCCCAACATGCAATAGTACCATCAGAGTAATTCACACACCCCACAGACACGTCCAGCTGCTTCAAGATAAATGTACTGGAAGGCAATCCATGTGTGGAAGGGGATTAAGTGTAAGTGATAAAGCTGTGGGTATTTAATGTTAAAAAAAAGTATATCCAAAAATATAACATTTTTTGTTTTTATTAAAACAACAATGTACACTGTATCATGGATTGGGGGATTTTGGAGTATTTTTTATGTTCCAGTCAGCATATTAGAAACCCACTGTGTGTGACTGTGTAAAAGCAAATTTTGCCTAAAGTCAACACCAAAAGGAATTATTATCTCCAGAACACTTGTTTTGTGCTGCAGGAAAACCCCCACAGGCATTTTATTCATTCTGTCTTTTTTTTTCATTCGCTCTCTTTTTTGGCTTGCCAGTTTCTCAACGTGGATCCTGTCAATAAAACGGATTAATGGTGAAAGATGTGGGTGTTAGGACTGCTTATAAGAGAAGCATCTAGCAAAAGCTTAGCCGAAGAACACACTAACACAGGTATCTTCAGAAATAGCTTTCTCCGTCTTCTGTTCATGGGAGAAAAAAAAAAGGAATCCACACAGCCCATTTGGAAAAAAAATTTAACTTAACTCTCCTGATATACAGTTAACATAAATAATCTGACAGGATGTGTCATTATAGGCCAGAAGTTGTCTTCCCCTAATAGCAACTTCAATCTCAAAGTTCTTCAACTACAGTGTATATCCAACAACATCTCATCAAAACTAGCATTACGTTTATATGCAAACAGGCAAAAGGTCTTAACACGATTAGCACCGGTTCAATTTGGCCTGCGTCTCCTGTTGCAGTGTCAACAAGGAGGAATTCAAAGTATTTTCTGATGTTGGACCGAGGAGCACAAGTGCACAGGATGACGTAATCAGCAAAACACCCGTAACTTCCCGCGCACACATAAACGTTACAGCTGCAATCAGAGGAAATCTTCAACCAGGAAGAGGTTCTCCAAAGAGTTTCAGTGACAGAAATATCATGCGCATGTAGACGAAAGACAAATTCAGCCTTCCAAGCCAGGATGGGTCATATCTCATGACTTTGCACCAAACTCAGTAAACCATCACTAAGATAAAAAAGGAAAAGAAATCTCTTTGCTCTTGGACTGCTGGACGCCTGTGAACTTTGAACCCTTGAGCGGAGCTGCATGAGACGCTGTCACGACAGCATCATCAATATAGCCCCAAGAGTACCTTGAAAAACTATTTTTACTAAGACACTCCACAACTGCATCCAGACATGCAACCTGAAACTGTGCAACTCACGCGGGGAGCCGCACACACGCCCACTCTGCAGATAAACACCACCAAGCTTTTTTGGGGTGGAGCTCCTCTCAGAGTTTTATCTGCAGTCCAGGCAAGTCCCTTCCTGAAAATGTGTGGCACCTAATGAGACAAGAATCAGGCAACAACCAACACTATGCTCACAGACATCAGCCTCGGAAATCTTGCATTGAGCTACGATGGGCACAGATTTCTTTCAAAACTCCAGCTGAACACACAGAGAGTTACTAATTATAACTTGTGTCTGTCGAATTACACCTATGAGGTTTTATCTCATTCAAAAAATGTTAAAAAAAAATTTCCAAAATAATCTATTGGCTGTGGGGTACAGGGGAGGTAAGAACTGGTTGTGTATCATCTTTATCTTTTATTACCTGGCAACCTAACACCTGATAACAAAATTCCAGGAAGTCAGTGTTACCAGTCTGTCATTTCCTTCTCAAGTCACAAGTCACACATTTTTCAATCTGTGTGGTAAGGACAATAAAACCTGTCACCTCTTTAACCAAAACAATTTCTTCCAGGCAAATGCAGTCATGCTGGCTGAAATTCAGAGCCGCCAGGTGTAGAAAATAGAGAGAACACTGATGTTTTGCCTTCAATACACAGAATTTGGGAGTGATCGACTCTAATTCTGTAATTGCAACAGGCAAGTGGGGAAAGCAAAGGCTACTAGAGTTTAAATGTGTGATTTCTGCTATCAACAAGAGCCGAGAGCAAGAGACAACTGAGAAAAAGCAGGAGGATCACTACAGTGTGACGAAGTGAATGTTAATTTTGGAAGAGTAGCACGCTAACCCGGTCAAGGTGAAACCCGGGCATTAAAAAAGATTTGTGGGTGAAGAGTTCTTGTTTGTGAACAGATGGAACTCTATGGTGGCAGCCTCAAAGACACAGCAGAGGCTGTGGGCGAAACATGAAAGAGAGCTCAAATACATTGCGCGCCGTTGTTTACGCACAACTGGCCAACTGTTTCAAAAAGAGTTCTGCTTGACATATTCATGGTCGTACCCAACGGAACTTATTGTCACAAATGAGGGATGAAAGACATTTAATATTTCCAATGATCAAGCGAGAGCCTGGTTTGAAACACCCTTGTGCACACTGTGCTCCGCTTCATCCAAAACACAAGTTGTGGATGTATGAAAGGAAAACAGGAAGTTCTTTTACAGAGGTTTGGACAGGAACCCATCTGCTCACACTTAGATGCAGCCAAAGGTCTGCACCTGATCGCTTTAAATGCTCTAAAAGATAAACAATAGAAATCAACTCTTCCTTTCCTTTTTAATCAACCGTAACAATTAACAATTAACAATTTCTTAGTGCATCAACTCAAAAAAGCTGACCTTACTCCAGTACTCGAAGCATGCTCATCACACCGAGTAACATGTCATGATAACTCCTTTTATTCACGCATTGTTACTCATTCAGGCACAGAATAAAGCACAAGTAGAAATTAGACAAGAAAATAAATGTACGTTCCTTCGTTTGAGAACCTTTAAAGAGAGCTTCAACCTTGCTGGATGAAAAAAAAGAAAGAAAACTAATTATGAGAAGAACGTATCACAATATTATACGGGGGGTGGATTTGAGCAGAAATCTCACCCAAACTATGAGGACAATCTGATTTCTTGATGAGAAAATGGCAAGCAAAAGTATTTGTCCATAGCCCAAGCAACAACTGTATCTGCCCCTGTCCTCCTTTTGGTTTCCCCATCTCTCCCACCATCCGTGTCCCAACATCATTTCCTCTATTCCATCCAATCTTATCTTTGATTTCTGTTGAAAACCTGATAAGTAAATAAGGCTCAAAGTCAAAGCGTGTCAGATGAGCCCTGTTGGTGGGAGGAGTTGGGCAATATGTGAAAAAGAGGGGGAAGAAAGGAGGAGCCGAAAGAGGTGAGTTCAAACCGGGACACTGTCCTCAAAACACATTCCAGCTTCTGCAAAAGTCAGCCTTAGAAAAGACTCACACACATTCAAGTAGACAAAATTCCCACACACATGCATGCAGAAACAAATGCGTGACATGCAAATGCATCATTACCGGAAATTGATCAGTTAAAGGGGAAAAAGAGAGGGGAGATCAGGTCAAAAAATAAATGTATAAATAAATATGAATATTCATTTCTTTATAGAAAAACATCAATCTTTTTTTTAATAATAAAAAACTCCATAAAGCTGTACAAATAATCTGCAAGCATAAATGACTGAGCACTTCTTTCATTTCTCCAGTTGGCATTGCTATGTATTGAGCTATTTCCTGGTAGTGTTGCCAGAGAGGCAAAGTCATTTCCTGTAGTTCCTTCCCACTGCAGCACAGCTTTCCAAAGGATTAGCTGCGGACAAACAAAGAGAGCTGCTCGCTGCATCCTTCCAGGCCGGACCGGACAGGGTGAGACTGATCTGCACCTCGGCTTTTAGCAGTTTAACATTCACAACGTAAAGATAAAGCATCAGTCTCCTGAATTCCAGACTGAAGAGGTCGAGCAACAATAAACCAGATCATACAGGCGATCAAATAAAACTAGTTATATCTTTCTGCTCTGGCGAATGACTTCTAATGGAAAATCTCAATTTCATAGCGTGAATCGGTTTGTCCTTGCAAGTGTTTATTTAGTAGCCTAGCAGCCACAGGAAAAGAATCTACTGCGCTGAATAATTGCCTAGACTGCAGAGAGGGTTTAGGCAATCAGTCTTCAAGTTAATGTGGAATAAACCACACCCGTCAGGCGGTGCAACTCAAAGGAAAAAAAAAGTTGGATCAGCTGTTTGACGGGGCAAATAAGTTTAGACTCTGTGGAACTTTCCAGATCATCCAAACAGGGTTTTTCCCATTATGTGGAATTTGAATATCATCTCTATATGAAATGCAAAAGGGCTGCAACATTCTGCTCAAAGAAAATAGGGCAATGAGGCAAATAATGAACACTTCTTCATACGATTCATATGTTCTCATTCTTCAATATGTTTAAGAAATGTACAATCAGAATGTTAAGACCAAAAATCCCCATCTCAAATATTACAAAAACATTAAATCCAGCTTTAAGCCATCCACAGAGTGTATATCTCAACATGAAATGATTTCAGCTTCGATCATCAACAACTCAAAGTTGGCTAAGCCATTTCCAAGAACAGGAATTTGCTTTTTTTCCCCCTAAACGTTGGCCTCTTTAGTTTAGTAGGGACTTATGAGAATTTTCAATAGTACCTAGTAATCTTTTTTATATTTCCATTTAGGCTGGCGTCTCCTAACAAGTTTTATCACCCACTCTGCCTGTTTTCCGGGCGGGCTGAGCCAGACTGACGGCAGAATGCAGGCCGCTGATTGGCCAGGGAGTCACATGACTCAACTAGTAATGGAAGCAACTCCTTCTGGCTATTTTAGAAACTCTGCAGCAAGGATAAAACCCCCTAAACTAAGTCGTAGCAAGGCATGCAGAGCCAAGTGGGGCTGGGTAATAATGAAATACCCTCATTTTATTATTCCATCCCACTGGTCATGAGAAACTATTTGCATTATCCTAAACCCAATGACTGAATATCTAAAATGAAAATGAAATCAGAAAAAACTCACTGGCTGCTTTGATGAAGCTCCTCTGGTATTGGTATGTCATGAGAGGTGCAGGCAACATTCTGGAAACAGAGGAGATACCAAGTAAAACAAAAAATACATATGAGCAGAGAATATGAAGCAAGTTCACAGTAAGCTGCTGTGTAAAAATCAGTAACGGTGAATAACTGAGGATGATTTCGGCATGCTCTGCACCGACTGCCTAACAAGAGCTTTTCACTGCTCCCGCAGAAGTGTAAAGGCCACTGCTGGCTCTCAGTGGGGCCTTTCCTGTGTATTAGGGCAGTGAGTGGACGACAGGAGATGTTAGAAATGAATGCACAGGAGAGGGTCTCTGGGAATATGCACCTGCGGATTTCTGTTAAGCAAAGCGTAAATTCATCCAGTACAGTAGATTGAGCACAGCATGGGCACTAAAACACGTCTTCTTACATTCTTTCCCTCCATTTAACAGATCCTTTGAGAGGCCTCGCGATCCTAATCCTCTCATTATCACAGTGTTGTAAAAGAAGTCACTTAACCATTGACTACACGGCTGGCAAAGATGGGGCTTAATGGCCTGTTTAAGAAAGAAAATAAAAGAAATGTATGTACAACTTTGTGCAAGTTGTAAAAGATCTGCCATTTTGCAAAAGCAGGAATCATTCAGAGATGTCAGGGACATCAACCATAAGTTCTCTTTAGAGGTTAAAAAGCTTTTACTTTGTCTGTCTCGAGGGCTGCAGTCACTCTCATGTATAAGCCTTGTTGTTAGCTCTTTCACACAAACCTGAGATAGTGCTTGATAGCACTCGTTATTGTTTTGATCTCCCACTCTTGACTTTCCAGCTCCACATCAGCACACGTTTTAGGATCTGATCAAACAATTTGAGATGAAAGAAAGAAAAAAAAAAAGACATAAATTACAGTACAGTTGCATTTTAGATGTATCCGATTTAATGGTTGTGTTTCTGCTTCTTTACCCATGGCCAGACCCAGCAGCTTTTGAACTTTGGAGTTGACGCCGGCGATTCTGTACAAACCTTGCTCGTCAATACCTGAGGGAAAAGAAAAACATATGAATTTATTCTATGAGGGAGTTTATGTAACTGCAAACTGAAAAATATTAGCAAAATATTGGTTTAAAGAACTCTACCTGACGCAATTTATTTTATCAACAAGGCAATTTGCAATGGTTTATATAGCACATTTCCATGGTTAATGAAAAGTGTCTTTCTTTTGGTCTGACAACCACGGATTAGCCCAAAGAATTTCAGAAGTTCATCAACACTACTGCACAACCTTGACAGTAGCTAGTAGATGGTTCACCCTCTCTTGTTATTTTGTATTTACGAGACATTCTAGATATTTGAACCTGTGTGCTTGTAAAGAAATAAAACAGCAACTTTTTCTTAATGTTGAAAGGTATTCCGATATATAGCAGGAAAAAAAATGTTCCAATCTGCATGGAAAGGTGAATCTATCTGCAGGAGGGTGAAGATTCTTACAAGAATGGGTGCTTTGAGAGCAGGAGATGAAAAAAGGCACAGACACTGAGTGAACATGTAGACCTTTACTGTGACATTTTGAAAAATATCCATCAAGATGGATGCTCTGATAGATCAGGGAGTAACATTCTTACAGGGTGCTGCATTTAATTACAGCTCACCTTTCCTCTGAAATCCTGCATGCCATGTGCTTCACAATTAGCACAAAAAGATGGAGGTAACTATATCCCTACGATGTATACACACAATGTAGACTGCCCACTTCTTTGGTTGTGGACTATCTGGTCTAAAATCTGTTTGTGTAATCTTGTTTTCTTGTTTACATTCATCCTCTCTGAACAAATCCAGTAATCCAGTAAGTTAAGGTGTGTTTAGCTCAATGTTTTGCATAAAATCTACAACCATGGTTTTAATGTGATTTCATGCTTGTCCAAGCAGCCTAATGAACTCAGCGAATTCTAATATTAGTTAATCTGCCAATATATCCATGTGGATTTAGTTCAATACTATTATCACTCATTAAATTAGAGTAATTTCAAGGTTGCTCACTGAATGCAATAATCCTGCTCATGGGGCATTCCCAAAAGCAGAAAGCTGAATACTCTGTTTTAATATTTTGTCTACACTTCTAAAAGATTCTGTACCTTCTGGTACTTATGCTTTTTTCTTTTAATGATATAAACTGATCTTGAGCATTAATCACATATTACAGAGAGAATAATGTAAGAGAATAGAAGATCCTTTCTGCCTGTTGCCAGTGGTGCTTGCACATCTCAACACAAAACACAAAACTATATATCATCACAACTTATGAGAAAAATGTGTTTAAGAAACATATAATAGGATGCGATTTTTTTGGGTAAAATCAGGAACTTTCCAGTCAGGAAAAAGAATTCTATCTAAATATTTTACCTCGGGTCTCCACTGCATAGATTAATTTTTTCATCACATTGAATCCAATGACATCCAGCTGGGCCACTGATGGAGAGGAGCACAAACAAAATGAGATGTATGTTCACACCGTTCTCACACTTCTCATAGGTGTTTTCAATATCCTCCAACTAAACTAAACTGTTCATGAATCTTAAAGCTACTCACTGCCTTCAGCCTGGTTGTCTTTATTGAGGTTGTACACCTGCAATTAGAAGAAAAAACAACATCTGAACTTCTGGCTGGGTTTAAACAAATGTTAATGGACTGTAGTTATATAGAGCTTTTCTAATCTGACCACTCAAAGGCCTATTGCACTACATTCCACATTCACACACACACACACTCACACAGCTCGTCTTGTTTCACAGGCTACACAGAGTTGTTGGAAGCTTGGTTACACAACATGAGGTTCAGCTTCTCGCTCAAGGACGCTTCAACATGTGACCTATTGAATCTAATGCTGCAGACTTTGGTCAAGTAGATTTTTTTCTTTTTTTCTTAAGGTCATAATTTGCTTGGTAATAGAGTCCTGAAAATTTTAAATAGAACACTGTGTGTGTGTGTGTTTGAGCCCAGATCCACTTGTCTAAAAGGTGACACCCTGATATCAGTCTGCGCTGACTCAGTCACAGCTACAAAACATAAAAGTCCTTACATCAAAGACAGGTAACAGCTAAGAATAAATACACAAGCTGTTTTTTAGAGCATTTTTATATCTATACAGATGGCGAGCTCTCTTGAGCCCTCGCCATCTGCTTTATCGTACTGGTGTGGACTCTAAAATGTCAGTTACGTTTGCTCGTTTGAACGTAGAACACGTTCGCACTCTTTTTTTTTCCAGTAAAAACTTTGTCACTGAAACAACAAATTGCTCTATGTTAAATCAGAATATGTAGGTGGACTAAAAATGGGCAAACACATGCAAATGATGAACCTTTTCTATGACAAAACAGTTAAAAATAAAGGAGGCTCTTTCTTTGCTCTTTGCATAGTGGACATGATGTCCCTGCTGCTCTCTGTCTCTCTCCGTCCTGTGTGTCCGTGTCACGTAAGCATAAACCTGTAACCATGGCAACCTACTGGTTCTCTCCCATCCATAGCCTCCATCCACAGTCTGCGGTCTTCTTCTGACAGAGCTTGCATGGTGATCACACCTGGCCTTCACACACACACAGACACACACAAAGCCACATTAGCTTATCAAAATTTAAGCCAAGTGGCAAACATCGTCAGTTAAATGGTGTTAGAACACACCCAACAACACCAGAAAAAGGCACACAAGCAGGCATGTGCAAATACCATATGTAGCGCTGCAAACCTTTTAGAAAAACTCCAGATGTCATTTAGACATTTACAAAAAAGCTTTACTATCTTTCATTTTCAAATTTTGAATCATGCCAAATGATTATCTAACTTCTTCACTTTTACAATTAAGGAGGTGTTTAATTTAAAATACCAGATATTTATTACCTTTTACTTATTTAGGGATGGACAACTTAGGGAGGGACACTGTGCGTGCAAATTTAGAAACGTTTTCCAAAAGCAAATCATATTCATGTGTGGACGTCAGAGGAGTGACTCACTTCTCTTTATAGTATATCAGCCCATCACAAATCAGATTTACACCATAAGAAGGTAAGAAAAGGGGACACCTATAGCCAGAAAGATCATCAAGTAACAAGAATTCATTATAGTAAGCAGCTTAAACAAATCCATCCAGACAGGTGCAGCATTTAGTGTGGATTCCCACACCTCAGTCATTACAGCCTCATTAGCCAGATCCATCCCAGTCTTCTGTAGGTTTCTAACCGTTCCTACACAGTCGCCTGACATGAGCAGCACTCATCTTCCGCTCACCTATACACACTAATGCACAGGCCTTTTCCAATCAAGACACACCGTCTAAAAGATCACCCCAGAGCCGGCTCCAGACCCACGTCCTGAGACCTGTACTACGGAACGAGAACAACTTTGTCTGCCTCTCAAAGCATGAGCCTGATTCGCCCATTCAGATAAACACCACCAAAGGGCTGTCTCTCTCTTAGTGAAAGCTTTTGTGCTGGGATGTGACTGTCCTTGCAGGGAATGTGTGGAGCTGTTATTGAACAGCAAGACCATCAGAAGGACTTTTTATTTGATAGCTTTGGGAAATCGTGCTTACACATATCTCTGGAGAAAAGAAAAAAACACAATGTGAGCTGAAAAGAACACATTCTTACAAGATGGTGCAAGAATTTGAGAATGAAAGCTGCTTCAAAATGTTAAAAGTGAGGGCAAAATCAACAAGTACACGCAGCTTCAACTTCAACTTCACTGAATTCTTTAGTCTTTTATTCTTTTTTTCCCTGATAATTAACAGATTATCCCATGTTTGACATGCTAATAAAAGATACGTTCCCACTGTCGTGACTGAGTGAAAATGACAGGCCCGCTTATCCCTTCAATCGTCAAGACTGTCCAGATTAATATTTCGACAAAAAAAAGATATTGGAGGACCAAGAATCATTAGCTCAGAGTGTCCTGAGTGGTGTTCATGAAGTGGTGAAGAGTGATAACGCATTGAGGCTGTGAGAGACTCTTTTGGGAATGACAAACATCTGCATTAATGAGCTTTTTGGAGTGACACTTTGAAATCAGAAACAAACGAGCAAATCTCTTTGCCATGGAATAAACAAATGGAAGAGGAAATACAGAATATTTGAGTTTGTATGATAACTGTAAAAAGTTCTTCTCCAGATGCATCATCAGCATATATGTCAGGCTTACTTTACCAAACTATTGAGACTGCATAAATTAGTAAAAACTGAGGCTGTAAAACACAAGGCAGCAAGATGGAGGGAACTTATGGAGGCGGAAAAGGGAGGACAACACGGGGGGGGGGGGGTTGAGTCTTAGGTCTGAGAGGGCTACAATATCCCACCACAGAGCAACTTAGCAGCACCCTCATGTGACTATGAGCTGTAATTACATCCTACAGGACGTCTTATTCTGCTACAGGGAATCGCTGAGATCACAGCATCAGACAATAAATAGCCTTCAGAAGACAGGATAAATAATTACAGTGGGCAAAGTTTAAGCTGGACAAGCAAAAATGAGACCAACACTAACCTGTCCACAGCCTCCACGTCAAAACAGAACCTTTTCTCTATGGAGTCCGTCTTCCTTCTGGTGCACGACTTCAGGGTGAAGTTCTCCTCGTCACCCTGACAAACAGAACAAGAAAAAACAAAAAAACAAAATGGTGATTGAAGCAAAGCGGCCCTTAGGGCAACGAAATCTTGTGTTTTATATCTTAAGAACCTCCTCGGCTTCCTCTCATGTTAAAGAATGGCCATTACATTCTAAGTCTGTTCTGGTTGCAAAAACAAAAGAACATTCACATAATTTCAGATGAAAGCTTTCAGTGTGAAATGGGCAGCGTTTCAAAAGACTCCAGGGACTGTCATACAAGCTTAAATTGGAAATTAGTTGAAGAAGCTGAGAACATTAGCTTTTCTAAGCATCTGAAATGTTTTCTGAAGCATCTACTGAAAAACTGAAATGAGCTTTGTGATAAAGCACCATGTTTAACCTCTTGACTTGTATCCAACCATTATACAATAAAAATATTTTATGCAGGTCTTTACGTAAAAAAAAAAAAAATCTTTATCCATAAATATATATTTCCTTTCAGTCAAATTAACCAAGAAACATAAGGATTATTCATACCTTAACATTTTCAGAGGTTGTGTTGGAAAATGTTTAAGCTCTTTTGGTAATACTCCTTATTTTACCTTTTAAGGTCTGATGTATCACTCAAATGCCGCCACTGAGAATGAACGCATTTTGCAGCCAAATTTAATTATAGATGCCTCAAGAATTTGGCTGCTGCTTGAGGTGTATGTGGGGTTGTTGTACGATTTCAGTTGCACGTAGGGTTAGAAGTGGGACCCTGTTCTGGGAAACCATAGTTTATTTTTGATGAGCCATGAGAATGAGATTTGGTTTTAACGTTATTAATTTACATACTTTACTTTCTATTTCAAATATGAAGGTTTTTTGGGGGATGTATATGTAAGCAGTTTTATTGAAGCTGTGCGTAAGCAGGCTGTTTTGAAAGGAAGTGTTGAACCAGGATGTTATAGACATAATACACTCTGTAGTGAGGTTGTGTTGTATCTCACAAACACTCACATCTCAATACTTTAAAATAGCTCAGCAGTTTTCCGCAGCAGTTTTTTTGGACTTATCTGAAATAATGCACTCCAACAAACTGTGAGAGGCCGTTCTGACTATGAGGGAGCAAATGTGTTGGTTGAAATGAGGCTCAGTGGAACAAACTGCAAATCAGATGCAACAGAGTTTTTCTGGCTAGGCCTAACTTTGTGAAACAATCATTTGAATTTAATTTCAATTAAATTGATTTCATCATGCCTTTTTTTAATTGTTTCTGAATTTCTGATAACAGTCTATTACTTTGGTTGTATTTCGTACAAATGACGGCTTGATGAGCACTGATGAGACTCTGCTTTAAATAGTTCATGACGCTCACCATTTTTCCTCCAGATTTGGGGTCAAAAAGGACCATGGTAACCCTCTTTGGCTCACGATGATATGTGCAGTAGTACTTCACCCAAGTAGATACAAACGAGCCTTTGAGAGATAAAAATAGAGAGAATATGAGAGGTTTAAAAAAAAAAGGAAAGGAAGCAAGAATAAGAAGAAAATACCAAATGTCAGGGAAAAAAGCATTCAGAAGCAGACAGGGTTAAAACAACATTTTGAAAAAAGGATGAGTCAGGCCTCCTTCGGCAATAAATGTGTTGCCATGGCAGCCACGTGTGGAAAGAGCTGCTGTCACATCTCCAACTGACTTTGTCAGCAGCTGGTCTGTGATGGCTCCTTTCTTCCGTTGTGCTGATGCCGTTCGAGTGTCTGTGTGTGTGGGTGTGTGTGTGTCTGTGTGTGTGCGTGGCAAACAAAATGAGCTAAACGCACACGGTCATTCATGGCATGTGACATGATGGCACGTGGACAGAGGTGGGCTCACACGTACGTTTCTCCAGCACAAACAGATAGCCCTCCATCGTGTGCTGGCTGACACTCTTGTGTTCATGCGGGTTCTCCTTCATCTTCCTCATCAGACTCTCCACCTCGGACCGTGTGCTCTCAAACCGGTTCCTTGTCTGTCAACATGAGCAGAGATCCTCCACTTAACTTACGATCCATGTAAGCTTGTAATAGCAGCTAAACTTGAACAACAATGACAACAAAAAAAAGCGTTTATCCATGCAGGGGAGGTTGTTTCCACCTACATATATTTTATTGCCTTTTGTAGATTGTTACAAAGGCATTGTATAGAGAAAAGATTGAATATCTGAATAGTGTAAATTCCTGTAATGCCTAGATCTTAGCAGCCCTATACTCACAAAGCAAAGTTAATTATTTTTCAAGTTTAAGTTATTTTCCCTTTGCTTGCAGACTTATCAAACAAAACCATTTTTCTTTGAATAAGCAACATCCCAGAATCATGCATATTACTTTTGTTCTTTTACTTTGAACACTAAACCTTCATCAATATAACACCTTTTAGTTTAAAATATGTCAAACTTTTTTAATGAAATCAAAACAAATATACACTTTTTTGGTGCTCTAGATTGCCACCCCTTGCTTGATGGATGTAGTATAAATGTGTGTGTGTCTTTGGGACCTTACGTTCTGTATACTGATGGTAAGATCGGTCTTAAAGTGGTTAAAATCCTTGGCCAGCTCGTAGCCATGGTGATAGTAGGTGAACAAGCCTTGGAGAAACGCCAGCAACTGAAGTGACAGCGAGGCCAAGAACAAAAAGGAATTAAGACAAGAAGTAAAAACAGAAGTGAAATATCAACAGTAGAGGAATAAAAAAAAAAAAGATAGCAAATGGCACCAAAAGTCAAATGTAATGCTATAGCGTAAAAGATGATCAAATACTTTTAAAGACTTAAAAACAAACAAAAAGTATAAAAATGTGATGCCTCTTGTCTTTTCTTTCTTTCTTTCCTTGAAATTTACCACTGAGGCCTCCTGAAGCTGAACCATGGGGCTAGCAATAACAATAGTTTTGGCGAGTATTAAGCGATTGATTACAAAAGAGTTTATGAAAAGGAAGGAACAAAAAAAGGGGCAAAAAAAAAGAAAACATGTCATCTTACGGGTTCCACAAAGTCAAACATCTTCCTTTCTTGGACCTCCTGCACCTTGAAGACATATTCCAGAGACACTTCATAAAAATGCTGCCTCACATGATCAACCTGGTTGTCTGCCTGCAAGAGGAAAAGAATCTCATGTAACTTTATGAATGTTCCCATAACTAAAAACCCCTTGAATCATTCTGGGAAGCAGTGAGGCTGTCAGAGTCAGACACAACAGCTTACCTCGTGTAGGTGGGACTCTTTCTTTTTAGCTGAAAGGCTAAGGTGCTTCTCCAGTACTGCGCAATATTTTTCAGTCTCCTTGTCATATTTCTTCCTGGCTTCCTGCCACACAGAAAACAAAAGAATTGCAAACACTTTGTAGGTGGATAAAGACATTAATGTAAATAATTTCTAACCAGATACTCAACTCATATGGATTTTTTTTCTGTTGTGTTATTAATATCTCAAATTTTCTTCATATTCTTGTGGCATTTTAAATATAAGCTATGATGTTATCATTTTTTTTTTACTTAAGTCAAGATTTAGATCACACAGATTTAACAGGATGTTGGTATCTTTTAATTTTTTGACAAATATTTTCCATTTTTCACACAAGCCAGTGTGGGGTTGTCCCCCAGGGGTGCACAGCTGCAGATGAAACAATAGACTCTTTCATGAGACGTGACATCACTGACAGAGAGACACATGGCGGGATGATGAGCAGGGTGTGGACGCAGAGCTCAGAAATGCGTTACTCAAGTTGTTTCTTTTCTGAACACTTTCCCGTTATCTCTCAGATAGAGCAGCTAATATCAGTTTGAAATATCACTACAACCACAGCCGAGGAGTTTAAAGGGTTGGGATGTTTCCCGGGTGTTTGGTTTCCCATTGGTGCAAAAACATTTTCTGAAATAACTCGATCAAATAGAAACATTTTGGATTAGGAGTTTTTCTCAGATTGAAGTAAACAACCATTCACAACCAAATCTAGAGAAAAAATAAGTAAACATACAAATTTGATTTTTTTTTTTTACCTTATAGTCTATACAACATTTCTATTACACTGAGATTGAAACACACAACTGTTGATGTACTTGAGTAGGAAGGAAGACCAGATCCATGTGAAGGTTTTTCAGGTGTTTAATGGAGGAGCAAAGACGGAATAAATCCAGTTTGAGCCCTGGAATTTTTTTTTTTTAATCTTTGATTTGTGTTGACACATAGCAGGTGAAACGTGACAAAGATTGCACGCCCCTCTGTAAGAAATCAGAAGCAACAATGGCTTAAAATTGCTGGTCTTATCTTTTGTTTAGAGTGTTTAGAGTTATCACACTAACATAGTGCTGCTGAAACTATATTACTTAAATCTGCAATGATGTGAATAGAAAGCTTAAAGCTTTCTTAGGAAAATAATTGAGTATACGTACTTAATTGCTGTCTGTTACTGGTCTATGGAAACATAAGGGGAAACAGAAGGAGAGAAGCTGACACATAAACAGAGGAAGGGCAGATCAGGCGGGTTTCCCTCTGTCAGAGTGGCCCTGAGGTGCTATAACTGTACATCCGTCCTAGCCTGTTAATGTTATTATTTCTTATCCTGAGATCATGGCATGGCCAGACCAGGGGGGGGGGGGGAGACATGGCTTAAGAAAATTAGTATTTGATACCCAAGTTATGTACATTATATCTGTTAATTCTGTGTGTTTTATCGTGTAAAATCATAATCATATCGAATAAATAATGTTTTAGAGCATTAATTGGTGACTTAATACAATAGAGTAATAGACAGTGAACCATCTAGAAAAGCATTTCAACATAGACTGTAAACTAAAGTAACAGCATTGCCAATAAAAAAACTATCCAAAGGTCTTTCTGGTTGACCAGTATTTCTCCTTGAAGCCAAAGAGCTATATGTGTGCGTAACTTAGAGCCGCCTCTGCTTAACTGCTCACATTTTCATTTTCATTTTCACCGATGGTGGAATGGTTAATATATAACTGTGGAGTCCATTGCCAAGCAAGGTTCCACAGTGTGTTCGGTCCTCTGGGTTAAAAGCGGAATACACAGCAGCTGCAGAAGACATCAGAAATGATGAATGCTCCTCTAAACAACAAGGCATCTGTTTAAGGTCTGCCTCTTTGATATTCCTGATTCTCTCTGGGGATCAGGTCTAAAATGACTGCTGCTGTGGCCCTCGTTAAAGGTTTCATGACATTGTCCTGAATTACATTTCAAAATAAGACAAAAGGGAACTGATGGTCAAGATTTCTTTTAAGCAATTTAGGAATAAATGTTTTTTATGCAAAAGGAAGTAAAAAAGTTATTTTTCTCTTCAGCCAGCAGGTGGCAATATCACTTCAGTACAACATTACCTGATGCTTTCTTGTCCGTTCCCTCTCTCCAACCACTGAAATTGTCAGAGTGACTAACCACATATACAACATTGTCAGACTGCTGGCTGCTGCTCTGCCATACCCAAAATTACCCCCACAGAAGTCACACATTAAGATAAACAACAAATCGAATCGCTTCACACACGCCCAATTTTTGCAAACCCTTCCAGGCATTGACGACCTATGTAAACATTCGCTTCAAGGGGGCCTTTTTAGTTCAGCCATTACATAAATCTTCATGTATCGTTAACACATCCCTCACACATAGAGCCCCTCAGAGTACTAAAGCACACAGATTAGATGAAATGTTACATGAACTCGGGTCTCCTCCACGTGTTAAAAGCAGAGGTTTAAACCTGCGCTGCTTTATTTTAATGGCCAAAAGAGAGTTAAACCTGCAGATGAGGGCCAAAAAACAACACATTTACAAACCATGTGTGTGTTAAATAACTCATTTTGCAGCAGCTGTGTTCAGAAATGGTTCAACAATTGTTGGTGGACTCGTGTCTCATTCTTTACACCAACATTGGCCTCCCATTACCAGCATTGTTTTATTTTGTTTTATTTTTTAAGAGCTTGATACTGATGGCATTCATAGGTGCGAATTTCCTCTGGGAACTACTTGCTGCTATCATTTGATTAAAGAGAAATCCTTTTTGAATAAGACTGGATCTTAAAAGTGAGATTTCTTTAAAAAAAAAAAAAAAGATTCAATAAAACTCTATCCAACGTCTCTGCATAATCAGATCATGTTATTCGTTCTGCAAATGTGACTGTGTCGAAGTGCCACCCCGGCTACAGATTTCCCAGCTCTGGAGCTTTAGAACAAGGTGAAACTGTGCCAGGGGAAGATTTTATCAGTTCTTTTAGGGCTAAACTAGGATTAGCACATCGCTCATGGTGACCTAACTGAGCTGATTATGCATTTGCTTCTTAATCTGATCACCACATCAAGATCAGACAATGGCCTCCAACAAGGGCAGAGATGAGCAGACATTGCGCAGATAAACATGTTTAGCAAGGAATTAATCAAGGATGCCCCAGAGATTATTCATCTATCTCCTGCGGCTAATGAAAGACTGAGACAAGAACACCAAGACTAGTTTAAATCAAGAGATTATTGATACGGGAAAATGGTCATTTTACAGAAATGGTTAAATGATTATTCAAACACGTATCAACCTTGAGCATTTTGATGAATTTCATTAAGAGTTTAAAATATTCCCAAGATCCAAGCTCTACAGATGAGATGTTTTCTTTCTATTTAATGCTTCTATGCCTCTCTGAACAGACAACACGAGGGGGACCCCGATGGCCTATAGGACACCCTTAATGGGGATACATGTGTAATGGGAACATTATGTATTCCTCTAATCCTCTATTTAGGACATATTTTGAGAGAGACCCCAAATTTTACATGGAGAAAATAGGCTAGCAGCACATTTCCACCATAGGACTTTAAATTAATTTACACTGGAATAACAAACATGAGAAAAAATATAAACCACCACTCTTAAGGCATCATTTGCTCTTTAAAAAATGATAAAGACTGTAAAAGAGCTGCAAAGTGCGGTTCTTTGCAGTTCAACAACTGCAAATGTTTTATCAGAGCATCTGAAGAGATAAGTGTACTTTAAAAAATCCAGTTAGGAACTATTAGCCTAGTTTTTCAGCAGCTGCAGGAAACCTGCAACTGAACATATCAACCACAAACTGTGTGACTCATTTTAGCCACTGGTATGAAACAAATACACTTGCTGTAATACTCCATTTTTCTCCTTGCAAGTCATTTGTTTAACTTAAACAACACAAACTGTGACCGGGTGAAACCCCTATAAAGCTAGCCAACAACCACTGGCAAATACACAGATCCAGCCTTGTGCAAAAAGTAAACGTCCACCAGCGTAAATCATTATCAACTGTATGTTGTTTTTTTTGTCCATGTGTGTCGGGGGCCTGACAAAGAGCTGCAGGACCACTAAAGGGCTGTATTGATTCATCTTTCAGTGCCGGCATACATGTATCAATACTCATCTGCAGCGTGTGTGCGGTTATATTCGTATCTGTCATCGCTCCAGTTGTGGGCTGTCGATGCTCTTACCTTGGCTGCACTGATCTGCTCTTTCCTGAACCGCTCCAGAGGCATGATCAGCACATCATTGGCATTTTCGATCTACAAGGGGCCACACACACACAAGCACACATATTCAGTCTCACAGACTAAGAAGTGCAGTTCATTTGCATAAATTGAGTTTTAAACTGCAGGTTGATAGGCATGAATTTAAGAGTCAGCCTAAAATCATAATAGTATTCATTAAAAAACAGTCAATGATCATTATTATTCGACATTAACAGCACAACTGTTCACAGATGATCACATGAATGGTGTTATTCTAACTCAAAAGGATCTGATAATCAAGGAATAAACCAAAGAATCCTTTCTTTGGTTTGACATCATCCAGATCTTTGGTTTATCATCCATATCTAGGTCACTCACCATCCGTGTCCTTTCATCCTCCAGGTTCTGTAGAACAGCTGCAAACTCCTGAAGCGACTTGGCTACAGATGTTCATCATGTTGGTAGTCGGTGGAGAATCAGTTGAAAAGATAGACATGAGGAAATGAAAGACTTGACGTCATTTTGTTTTGTTCACACAAAGTCACGAGACAACAGAATAATATGACCAAAGTGAGATGAGGGGATTTTGTTTCCTTGCCGACTCAGAACTTGTCCAGCTCAGTTCCCCTCGCTGGCATGTAAAGTTACACTGGGTCAGAGTTTCAACTTCCAGTGACCGTGCCTGCCCAGCACAGACACAAACCCCTGCTCCTCAGATACACCTTGAGTAAATACTGACAGCGTGTTAAAGGGTAACCAGTGACACTCAAGCAATCCAGTGGAAACTATTTGTGGCCATAAAATAACAGAATCGACGTATCGAAACTGTCAAAGCGTCTGATGGAACATCGCTGCTGGAGCTAAGAGAAGGTTAGCTTTCACATGCTAACAACAGGGCCGTGGTGCAGCCCAGTCAAGACTCAAGCTGTTCAGGAAAGATAGCTGGAGAGAGTTAAACAAGAGTGGTGGGTGGGTCCGTGCAGAGACAGAGGCCGGGGGCATGAGAGGGTGCGGTGGCCACACGCCCTCTCACAGAGCAGGATGTTTGGATAGCAACAATACAGATGAGCATGAGGAGTCAATGGTCAGATTCGACACCGACAGCCCACGTTTCTGCACCGATACGTGTCAGGCGGGAGTCTGCATTAGGCTCCTGACAAAACCTCCAGCTTGTTTTCCTCTACGCTGGAAAATGTGCTTCTCGATCTTGTGATTTGCACAACAGGAGCTCCTGATGCCGTCAGGAGCTTCATTGTTTGAATATTATGAAAAGACCTCAGGCCAGTGACGGTGAAAAGGACAGAGGATTCTGCACACTGATGCTGACCTCAGAGTGCTGGAGCTCTTCCTTTTTTTGAAGCTGTCATTACAGATTTAAGACGATTCAAACACGATCCTTGGGAACATGAAAACCCACCAGGTTTTAAAGATAATTGTGAACCAAACACAACAAAATAGTCAAAACATTCTTTCTTGACTATTCATAATCAAATACAGGCTTAGACTTGATAAATCTCTTCTTTGCTTTTTTTCTTAAATGGATGGTGTTGCCTAGTCAGAAGAAAAATTTGGCTCCCTAATTCCAGAAAATTAAGTGCAAGCTGATCATGAAGGTGTATTGTTTCAAACATTCTGAAGACTATCCAAATGTAAGGAGCAGTTGAAGGGGAAAAAATAATAATTGGAGGAGTTCTAATACTCCATTTGAAAGCCCCTCCAATTCCCTGCTAATCTGGGCTAAACACTGACACCAGCTCGATTTCCCACATCAGCTCCCTTCTCTGAACATCTGCTGGGGTGAAGTGGGGTTATATCAGCTGTAAACCCGTATACACTGGGCCCAACTCGGACCTTTGCATTCTCAAGATTCTAACATTTTTATTACATGAAATGCTCATACTCAAAAGTTTCCAAACTATGAAGAAGATTTATAATGAGGCTATATTTGGTCTCGGTGTTCATAACATTTATATTTGGATGATAAATAAAGATAACGATCAGAACAAAGACATCATTTGGCACTTTCTGGCTTCTTAATGGGCAGTAATGAAAACAAGATGCTTTTTCTGTCCTTTCGTAGAATTGAGAATGCGAAAGCTCACCTATGCATATCTCATCGTCTGTCTCAGCGTCTCCAATGCATTGGAACTTGAAATCGTTGAGAGAGTCTGCAAACTTCCTCTTCGCGGTGGACAGACCTGAGAGAATAGAGGAATAGGAAAAAGGAGCTGTTAGGTTGAGTGATCTTTTGTTTCAGGGGGACCAGGGGCAGCATCCTTCTTGGTAAATTAGTACACCTCTTTTGGCACGAGCTTCAAATAATTCAAACTCCTGCTTTGAGGACCCACAGGAAGCATCGGCTGTTCCCTTTAAACTCGAGTTACCTGACCTGAAAACGAGTAATAGACCTATATACGAGAATAACACGCTTTGTCCTGATTACAATTTCTTATGGAGTTGCTAGGGGCGACTGGAATGAGGGTTAAAAGGTGGCTACTGCGAGGGGGTCCCCTGTGGCATTATTGATGGCAGCTGACAGCTCATGTGTGTCTGCGTGTGTGTTTGTACTAAAAGGAAAATGCACAGAGCTTAAACCTTCCTATTAGACCTATGCCACATTAACCAGGAGTGACACTGAGAAGCCTCGGAACGATGGATGCCTTCCCAACAACACATGAGGCCCGAAGAGTTCCAGAGAGACAAAAAAGTTTGGCTTCCATTCCACTTCAACTCACGACAGGGTCGCCTTTACTACATTTCCTGTTTCTGGGCTGGCTGAGGACACATGAACAGGACCTAGGCTAAAGAATGGATCGATGAATAGAAGAAAAACTATCTATATGTTTCTTAGAGATTACATGTTGTTGGGCCACTCACTAGGACCAGATTTATGCACTATACCCCAACAAAAACACTTGAATAGAATAGATTTGAACAGAATCCAGAACATATCATATTAATGGTTTTTATTTCCATTTGTTTGTTTGCCTCCATTGTCAAAGAAGAGAGAAAAACAGTATGATGTGATCAAACCAAGCAGAGTCCACTTTCCCAGAGGGAAAATGACAGGATGTAGAGCCAATTACAGTGTGTATTATAGTAGCTTTTTCTTTTTTTTTTTTAAATATTGATAGAAATTACAATGGAATTCCGATGAGGCCGAAGGGAAAAGTGACAGGGGAGAGGACAGATCAAAAGTCTCACAGAGAGACAGATAGGAGTCAGGGAAAGGACAGGGAGTGTAGGGAGAGAAGACAGACAGAGAGTAATTGGCCATGTTCATGTAAATACCACAGTTCCTCCACAGAGGATCTACGCAGCTACGCAGCTTGCCAGTTGGAGAAATGAAACCCAGGCCTTGCACACATGCTGCTGGCACACACCAACGCACATCACTTTCCCTCTCCGAGTGACTCAGAGAAGCTTTGTGGGATGTCAGTGAGCGGTGAGTCAGAGGGGCTTCGCATCATCGAAATAACCCAAATATGACCAAAACGAGACCGTGTGAGGTTTTTAACGGAGCCACACCGTGTGAATGACTCCTCCCGCAGTATTTTACGCAATTCAAAATAACCAACCTGTCCGAGGTTTAAAACGGGAAACCAAATCTAAAAGATTAAAGCGGAATCCAGGTAAGAAGGCTTAAGGCGTGCATTGTTTGACGTGACCACCAGGGGGAGACTCCACCGGTAACAGTCTGAGTTCAGAAAACAACGTGAAACTTCGGCCTTTAACATTTGACGGTGGGACCGATCTCAGCTCCAGGTGGTTTCTGTGTTGCATTTCACCATAGAAGAAGTCTTTAACTATCCAGGTTGTCTTTTCTCATTTGAAAACTCTATGACGACATAAGAGGAAAACGAGGCACCTGGTTTCTATCACATTTTCCACTCACCTTTTATTTCTTCTGTTTGAAACGGTGCACAAGTGTGGGTATAATGCACACTGTGGGTGTAATGTATATTAATGAATAATTTTTAAAACTACTTATCATACAAATAGTTTCATAGGAAACCTAAATTGCATTAAACAAGGTTAGAGTGGATTATATCATCATATGTCTGGACAGTGTTACCTAAAAGGTTCTCAAATCAGATGTTTGCTGTTTTGACATTACAAACACACTGACTTGTCGGAAACTTCACAGAGTTACTAATGACATGTTCATATATGTGTATTGCTGCCTGGATGACGGTGAAATATGACCCGGTCCTCTCTGGGCAGAAAACATTACATGAGTTTGCATCGCATTTCAGTTCACTTGTCCTTAAAGAGTGCCTCTGTGTAAAGTTTGGCAAACAACTGGATGAGGTAACTACTGTTTTGCGGTTGTGGATATATCATGTGTAACAGCAGTCCCTGCAGATAGATAGGTCGGAAACACACGACCACACATAACTTACGTCTGTGCATCCATGAACACAAACACACACACACACACCAGCATTCACACAAGCTCAAAACTGGACTTTCAAGCTCCCTCGCAGCCATGTTTCCAAATCAAAACCACATTGTTGGCAGATACGACTTTATAGTATCTTGACAACACAAACGACTTACTATAAAGCAAACAGGCACATGCAGGAGCAAGCACGATGTCCAGAGAAGCTGCCGTGCAGGAGGTCTGCTTACACACGCAGCAGTACTGCCCGGCCATTTATGGTGTCCATTTATAACCAATTATTCCCAAGGTCAAGTTAAATAGATCTAATAGCTATGATGATATAAAAGAAATGAAAAAAAGGCTTTTGTATGTGTGCACTCAATAGGTCACATAGCAAACTGAGACTTCATAAGTTGTAAATCGGTTCATTTATGTTCAATTCATCTGGAATTACAGTTATTTGGGTTCATTTAGATTCTTTGTTTTTAATCATACAAAAAAAGGAAAACATTTGACAGAATTGAATTACGTGTTTTGTTGCCTCTGCTGCATTCCCTCATTAGTCATACTGTGTGGGTCTGTTGTGTACTTGATAAAAATCAAGCAAAGGACGGAAAATATGTGAAATATTTTGAGCATGCCACACCAGCAATGCTGTTTAAACGACAAAAAAAATGACACATTCCTTAAAGCCTCCAGATAAGAGATGCTAATCTGATGTTCAATCTGTCACGGTTATTTGGTATTATTTACTGCGAGTGCGAGTCTGTGTATGACAATGTCCAGTCAGGAAGGACAGCGGAGGACAGAGAGGGCTAAAAATAGGTGACCCTGTTGACACTGGCCTTGCTGTCCTCTTCCCCTCTTTTCTCACACTTACAAGATAAGATTCCTGCCATGCCTCTGCCCCTCACTTTCTTCTGAGCTTTTGTGTTAAAAGTAATCCTAACACATTAGGTCGTTGTGCTATTATACAGCCAAAGCGTGAAAAACTGTAATTTATATGTTTACATTCTTCCGACAGCTTCATCCAAACCCATAATCTTTTTAGGACACACAGTCGGTGCATCTCTCCTTGGTTGAGTCAAAGGTAATAACGACCCTTTTATTGGCGATCAAAAGTTGGACTGGTCATCATCTTCATCCTACACACAAGAAAGTGACCCCATGCAGCGACAGGACATGGTAGGCACTGTTAACATTTACACATTACCTGAGGTTGTGTATTGTTTCCTGAGTCTCAGCAGGGGGTAGAAATGCCTGCGGCTCTTCCTGGAGGCGGCGTGCGTGACTGGTGGGAGCAGCACAGAAGTGCCCAGAAGGCAGAGCAGGTATGTCTGAAAGCGTGGCAAACACTTCTGAAAGCCCGTGGAGTTGCCAGAGAGCTTTCAGTTTTTTGTCAGGTTTTTTTTTTTTCTGCCCTGCTGCGCGTCTAAGCAAAACAGGCCCGCTCTAAAGTAATGAAACATTCTGGGATTTAGTTGTTTTCTCCACGCTGTGGGAGCAAAACGGAGCTCTTTCGGTTTTCGTGTCAAAGCTTCAACTCGGTTAAAGGAAAATATCAGCCTGCCTGATCAGTAATAAGGACTCAAACAGCTCGTATTTATATTTTTTTCTGACTTATATCTGCTGTCTCTGGCTCTGAAGTATCCAACAGATAAGTTCTGAAACTCTCCAGCCATACATATCATTTTTGATAACAGATTTCTGACACCTATTACACCTTCATATAGTCAGAACTTGGTTTGTCTTTTTAAATACTAGAATATTTAATATTTCTCCTTTTTTGCATTTTAGTTTATTGTAAATTTGATTAAAAACAATTCTCTTTTTTTACATTTTGTTAAAGAAATATTTCGGATTTGAAAAAGCTTTTCTATTTTCTTCCATCTTTTTCTTGGGTTGGGCTTTATAGGGTTAAAGGGCTCCTGCTTATCATGGCGACAAAGTTGGTGGGAAAGAATTCTGTCAGTCTGCACTTTGGCTGTCACATATTCAGCACAGTTTAAATCTGACATTTGAAGAACGGCGACGACTGCCTGACTGTGCCATCTTGAGGGGGAAAAAAACAAAAAAAACGTAGGGGACGCACCATTACGGCACTGTAAGCTACACAATACGCATCTGTAATGAACCACAACCATGCAGCCGCACAACGGCCACTATGTGTGCTCACTCAAACACACTCTTGCACACTCAAAAGAATGGGCCTGTGTGATATCAACAGGATATCCAGCAGTAGCTTGAACTCTGCAGTAGCTTTGTTCCATCCACATGTGAATAGAAACCCTATTCATCACATGGGACTGGCAGACACACACAACACACACACACACACACATACACACACATGCACAACTATTCATCGAGGAAGACAAAGACTGATTTCAGTCTCCTCTATTTATTCTTTACATGACCCAGAAGCAAAGCAAAGACTGGAGTCTACAGACTCAACTATACAGTCAAAGCCAGTAACAAAAATGGTGCAAGATTAAAAAAAAGGGCTCAGAGTTTAATGGGCACGATGATTTGTGGATACTATTGTTGCCAGAAAGGGAAAATAAAACTTGGATTTTGTTCTCTTGGTGTGGTCTGACACCAGTTTAGAAAAAACATTTTTTATAACATTTGCAACTTTTACAACAGTGATTGTTATGATGCCTGTGAAACATTATACTCTAAATTTACAGTTTTACGCACAATATTTGCTGGTGTTTAAAAGCTTTTTTGAAGCTGCTCAGAGAAGAGCGCTCAGATCTCAAAACAATATCAGGTCCGATTACGATTTCTAAACTACGCTTTTAAAAGTAAATTCTTCAGTTTGACATCGATCCGCTCGGAAAGAAGGCAAAACTTTTTCCGCTGGAGCAGAGGCAGAAACTAAAAGGCGACGACAATATGTTAATGTGTTGACACTTCTGCCAAAACCCCGATGGCCAGCTCCGTCTCTCTTGGCCAACTGTGCTTGTTCTCTTGAAGGGCAAGCTGGAAGAGTTCGCTGTAAAAGCTGAACTTCTATTTTATTCCTCTTTTTGTGAGGACATAAATCTGTCAGCACCGTAACATGGTCGGGTCATATCTCCTTTTTGGGGACAAACAGTCCGTCTCCAGTAACATCACTTATTCCTCCAAGGGTGAGGAGTTTGAATTCCAAAGGGGTAGGGTTCAGTGAAAGTTTAAAAAAAAGAAAAATTTAGCAATGGGCATGTAAATAAAAGGATGTAGTAATCAATCTGGAACGATGGAAGAATGCTTGTGATATCAGAAAGAGAAAGGTCAAATGTGGCTGTGTCTCCTCACTCCTCTCTTTCCAAACTCAGCACTAAAGCAGGAACTTCTCAAGCGTTAGAGGGGGGGGGGGGACCCTTGATTGCAGTGAACGTCCTAACGTGCGAGCAATAAACCTTGGTCCACGAGTAGGCTTTCCGGTAGGACGAGGTCAGCTTGATATTTACTGGGGGGGGACCTTATTGACGTGGCAGCGACGGGGCACGAGGGCAGCCAAAAAGTGTGCAGGAGGGAAAAAAGCTTGGACCTGGGGACTGCTTCTTTCCGGTGTTGCCATGGTGAGTGCGTGGCAAAGGAAAGCAGGGGTCAAAGGCCATCTTTCGTCTGTCCATTCTGCTCCGTCAGCTTTATGGAAAGCCATTCGCAAGAGCGCACACTGACGCACAACCTATATTGACTCGTCGCCGTGCTTTAACCCTCAGTTGGACGTATATCGGGTATTAATCTAGCCCAGGAAGTAGATCATGTTACATTCCGCTTTAGCTTCATCATATGTCTTATAATATTATCCACCAACACAGCTGGGCAGCAAATGCTCCCTGCTGTCCTGTAATATGAAGAATATTACATCCCATGAGTTGTCCCTCTAGATTGTATAAAGTAGATAGAATTTCACAGGAATAAGGTTTAGACATTTAGATCTATAGCCAGGCTTGTACACAATGAATGTACACAGCAGCATAGCTGTGGTTAGAGATGAATACTACCCATTAACCAATCGGTGAATAGGGTCATTTTGGACACAGGAGACAGTGCAGCATGACTAAGCATCCACCTCGCACAGTTTTTTTGACCCCATGCAGTTTGTGTTACAGGGCAATTAAAAATGTCCTCCAATCCATCAAATATGGCCGATTCCCGAGCAAAAGAGAAGTGGGATAAAATGCCCGAGCACACGCGCAGGGTCTACACATTTCCACTCAGGTTCTGCATACCTCTGCATCACGCACTAACTGCCGCCACTTGTAAAAATAGTCCCGCTGGTGGGTAAGCCGGCAGAGCTGACATCCAATGCTCGGGCTGTAACCCCCCCAGTGGACGCCACCACGCCAGCCAATAACTGTCAGTTTTATTATTAACTAGCTTTTAAGTCATAAAATGCAAAAACTATGACTGTATGACTGCTACAGTTAAGCTGTAAAACAAAAACAAATATGTGTGTGTATATATATATATATATTTATATATGTGTGTTGTTTTGCACTCAAAACTGCTGCAAAACCATCAATTTTAACAAGCTTCATTTACAGTTCCATGCCAGCAGGCATTATCAGGATCTGTTTTTGCATCTACTAAAATGATGTTGTGAAAACCTTTTTGCCGGCAGCAGCCGTAAACACTACTGAGATGCACGGCGGCCGCTTGTGGGAACAGTGACGTGCACACAAACACGCGCACGCGGGGGACCTGGCCGCCCCGCATTTGGAAGCTCTTAAAAAAAATAAAAATAAAAAGCAAACACGGGCCAACGCATGACACGGCGTTGAGTTGACAAAGCACACCCAGCACATGCTCAAACCCACTGGAAACCGTCCCTTTGTCTCGCTCAGCAGATGGCTTTCATCCCATCCCAATGTGTCAGCATGGTGACTGAGGGCACAAGTGTTTGTGTGCACTTACTGTAAAAGCGTACAGCGCCATTCTGGCCACATCGTTTTAAATTCTCAAACATCAATCAAGCTACACTATCTAAAAAAATATGTTTTTTTGTTTTTTTTCCCCATCGCACACACCCCTTTTACATCTTCATTCCTTTTCTATAAGCGTCAAACTGCCCATCCCAAAGAAGAATCACATGGAAAGAATTTAAAAAAAAAGGATCAAGATGCAGAAAAAGACAAAGGGTGAAATCTTCTACAAGAAAACCTCTAATTCTCAGAGAGACTGCAAAGTCAATGAAGTGCTGTGCTTGTTTATGGAGGCTTTTCTGTGCCCTGTGATAGCACTTTGCTCATCAGAATGGGGCTGAATGGTGGTCAGAGGCCAACAAAGCGATGAACAATGGCTAAATAAAGCCTGGGAACAAAAAGAGGCAAACAATGACAAACACAAAGTCCTGCCCCGAATGAAAGAATTAACTGAAAGTTAGATGCTGGAGTGGGGGCAGGAAGGGTTTGGAGAAAAAGGGAAAAAATCAAGATGAAGAAAGCTGTACAGCTTTCAAGAGGAAAAGGAGGGAACTGAGCTGAGAAACAGCTGGAAGAGATGGAAATGGGAACTGAATCTGGCTCGATTACGAAGTGGAGAGGAAGAGGAAGAAAAAGACTTTAAAGGTGAGGCCATAATTATGATTTTAAAAAGTGTTTTGTGTTTAAAATAAACACAAAATAAAATAAGAATAAAATTAAATGAAATACACACAAAACAGAGAAGTCGACACAGCCCAGCTACTGTAAAGTACAGAAAACCCTACTCCTGGCTAGCAAAACCTTATGTTTTATCGTTAAAAATTCTTGTTTTCCAGTGATGGTTAAAACCCCGATTATTTTTCATTTGCATAGAATTAGCGTGACGTTATGTCAAAAAGATGTCCTGTTAAATTCCTGGAGAAAAACTGCATCCAACAACAGAGGCACAGCAGGCAAGCATGACACATAATTGTAGGAAATATATAGCCTGCATCCAGACAACCAAACCTCCTGCCAATAATCCAGTAGATAAAGTGGATAAATCATACTAGTGACCCTATAATTGAAAATAATATTTAGAAGTTATCTGTGTTGCTGTGGTAGTAAGAAATACACACTGTACACTGCTGAGGCTGTCATGGTCTCCCTCCCTCTGTCCCAGGCCACATAGCTATCGTATCCAAGCAACATGGACAAAGAGGCCAGACCACAATAAGGAGCATTTCTCCACCACTTTTTAGTCTTACACTACGTGTTCCTCCTTTTCCGATTTTCATCTTTCCTTCTCACTCTGTCTGTAATTCATCTTCAGCCCATTTTGTATTTCTTTACAAAACCTTCTTTTGGCAGTGACGCTCTTGCTGCTGACTCAGCGTACGGCATCGGCCGGGGAGGTTTTCCTCGTTCACGTTTAA